CCTCTGTCTCCTCCACCAGAGAAAGTTCCGGTGTTTGAAAACCACCGCTGTTGAGCAAACCTCCATCTTAAGAAAATGAGAATTTGGAAGAAGTTCAAGGTCATATGCCAGTTAGTGACTGACTTGGGGGAGACCTCCAAAGGCTTAAGCCTGTAAGCAAAGGCTTTAAGTAAGGATGAAAGAAGATTTGATTTGCATTTCTGAAAAGATCATTGTAATAATAAAACAGGATGAGGGCCAGGCCGGGCTGTAAGCTGAGAGTTCCCTTAGGAAACTGTATTATGGGGACTTCCTCAACTAAGACAATGGCCTCCAGCTGAGCAGGTGGAAAGGAGCAAGAACTGGGCAAACTCACCCACAGCCACCACTCCTAGAAGTGGGACCACAGCCACATGGCTGACTTGGGAGAGCAGTGCACTGGGGTGGGGGGAGACATTTAGTTTATTTTGTGACAGAAATGGACTTTGGGATGTCCGTGTGACTTCCCTTGGTTGTTACCTAGTTTGATGCAGGGTGGTGGATGTTGACAGTGAAATGGGGTGGTGGGTGGGGGCACGGGACACTTAGGATTGAAGCATTAGATCAGCAGCATTGAAGTGGCAGTGGATGAGCACCGGAGGCCATGTGTGGTTGGGAAAGGGAGGGAGTGTCACGACTGAGGCCCCCAGTGCTAAATGCCACCGCAGGTTCACTTCAGACGAAGCAAGAACCCCTTAGCTTTTACAGCGGGCATTTCCCAAAAGGCCTCTCGTCAGAGCATCTTCAAGTGGAGGAGAGGCAGAGCTCTCGATATAATGGGATGGAGTGTGAAGAAGTGGAGAGATTGAAAGAGCAAGTGGAGTCTATTTTGGGGTGCTTTGTTGTGAAGGAAAAGAGCAGAGGTGGGAACCACCCCTCCTCTAGACTGAGGAGTGGGGCTGGAGGGTTAAGCAAGTGTGAGGGACTTAAGCCTATTTATAGATAGGGGAAGGAGTCCCCCATGTGGAGGAGGAAACTACCAGCAAGGGAACTAGCCCATGAATCATGAATCCAGCCACTAGAGGAAATGGGCTCCTGAAGCTGCTAACAGGACGAGAACGCATCATCCTCGGTGTTTCTTGTCACCCAGCCTGCCCCAAATCGGGCTACCGCTCTCTGTTTTTAAAAGCTCTAAGTCTAAATGGTAACCTAACCCTACGGAGACCTGCATGCCATTCCTGGAAACGAAAGGAGGATTTGAATATAAACCTTAAGTAAAGCAGCTTGATCGAGATAGAAATCCCGTACAAAAGGTGAGATTCTGAGCCCTTTCCCCCAACCCTCCACCCACCCCCTCACCCCCACCCACCCCCATTTTGTGCCTAAGACCTCATCTCGCCTACTTCAGGGCAGATTTTGTTGTTGCTAGAGGCAGATGACTTGATGTCTCCAGTCCAGCTGTAAGAGAAGACCTTTTAAGCAAGAGACTTGCCATTTAACTCGAGAGGAATTTGGACCCAGCACTTTCGCTGTTCCTGTCAGCAAGTGACCTTTATGTGGTGGACAGGCTGCCCCATCCACAGGCTTCCTCCTGAGTATTGCTGACAGGAAACCCCTCAGCGTGCCGCCCTCCTCCCCCCAGCCCCTGGGAGGAAAGAGTCAGGATAAATAATATGGTGTAGTGGAAAGCCGAAGCTGAAAGTCTGGAGACCTGAGTTCTAGTCCCTTTTGGTGCCACTATTCCTTCATAGTAATTTGGAACAAGCCGTTCTTGCCTTTTGTTTTCTCCTCTCTCAAAGAAATGCTCTGAAAGACCCCTTAGAGGTAGCACCTAATATGCCTTTGGGGTTCCTGTTTTGTGCAGTATTTTACTGAAGAGGCACTGACTTAGTCATTTAAAGCTCATTAAAAACAAAAGTACCTGCACCTCTAAATTACCAGCTGGAGAATTCGTCGAAGAGTGCTGTATTGATTTGCTTTACTAACAGAAGGATTTCGAATGACGCACCAGTTGGTATTGAGAACAGTTTCACTACATTCACCAACAGTCAGCTGATATTTCGCTGACTGTGGGGAAGTCATGTGTTTTGAATATAAGAATAGACACTTTCAGCTGTCCTCCGAGTGCCAGTCATTAGAGTATGCTTAATCCACTGCACTAAAAATACCCAGACCTTTTTTCTTTACTAGTCCACAATTCATTTTACTTCAGGTTCAGGTTTAGTTTTACAAATAGACACTTAAAGAACAAAATGAGCTCCTTATTGAATTTTTTAAAACCACTCCTAAAAATAGGGAGTAGACGTTAGGTTCTCGATAATCTTACTAAATGAGAATGACAATTTTAATTTTGCTCCCTCTTCAAAGCTCTCAAAATACTGCTTTGAGCCTGCTTTAATTTTGTGCCAGGTGCAGTATTACTTCAGCATTGTTCTTGGCTACAGTCTAGTTAAGAAATACCTCGGGCTCGAGTCAAACTTCTGCCCCTCCCACTTAACCCTGGGCAGTTGCTACAGCTTCGGCCTCCTGTCAACACAAACAATAATGCTCTTCTCTCAGGGGACTTAAATGCCAAAATCCTGCAAAACTCCTTCGCTGACACTTGGTGTCTCACCTTAGTGAGTGCGCAGTGAATGGTGAACCCCTTTACAACGGTTCAGTCCTGGCTGGCAGAAACAAGGGCAGTATAGGCACTGCATAGCAACCAGATCTCTTCCAAGGCTGATGGGATTTTGACCAGAGCAGGACACACAGGCAGGGGTGCCCTGCCCCCAAAGATGGCATCTGACACATTTAGAGTGGCACTGTGGACCACCATCTTTGAGGGGCCAAAGATGGCATTTGACACATTCAGAGTGGCACCGTGGACCGCCATCTTTGAGGGGCCTGTGCCCTGCTTGGGTCAACGCCTGACACGATTTGGTTGCTTTGCAGTGTCTGTGCTGCCCTTGTCTCCCTCGGCCCCCAGGCTGAACCAGTTCAAAGCCCTCGTTAGTAGCATGCTTCTGTTTTCTTCCCCTCCTGAGTTTTCCAGAAAGGAAAATGCAGTCTTATCATCCTGATATTCACCCACACCGAAGAATTCCTTAATTGGATGGCTTTTTTTTTCAATTCTGAATGGACGGAAACACTCAGTGTTATGGGCTTTCTTTTTTAATTTTCCTACGTTGACCTCTATCAGTCCTGATAATGCTTGAATTCGTGTTTCTCAGTGATTCTGGTGTGGAAGTGCTGTGTGTTGGTTGCAGGAAGGCACTGCTGAGGAGGAGTGAGGGTAGTGTTTGCACTGGGTTGAATATTTAACAACAGTGAAAAAAACAATAGCTAACCGACTCACAGTAACCCTATAGGGTGGGGTAGAACTGCCCTGGTGATTTTCTGGGACTATCTCTTTACAGGAATAGAAAGCCCCTATCTTGCTCCTGAGGAGAGGCTGGTGGTTTTTGAACTGCAGACCTTGCAGTTTGCAGCCCAACTTGTAACCCAGGGCTCCTAGAAGGTACACAGGGCTTCCATGACAAAATCCTTCTTGGTGTGGGTGCTAGCACATGGGTTCTGTCACTGACCATTCGTCACTACATACATTTTAGGACTTTTGTGCAAATGAAACAGCATCAACCTTCCTTTTCCTCTCTGGTTACCTGAGTTTGAATCCCCCCCCCCCCTGTGTTTTTGTTTTAACAGTTTTATTGGCATATACTTCACATATCATAAAATTGAGTAGTTCAGTTACATCAAGAAGAATTGTACAATCAGTTTTAGAACATTTTCTTCATTCTTTCCTCTTCACTCCTGTACTCATCATTATTAGCTTCCCATTTCCCCCAACCTTCCCTGCCATACCCCCAAGGAAGCATTCATCCAGTTACTGTCTATAGATTTACCTATCATGGACTTCATATTTTGTTTTAATGAAATACATGCCAGGAAACCCTGCAGTTGGCTGCATTGTAAGAAGAGTTACGGGAAGGAGCAAAAGAAGTTATTGTTTCTCTATCGTGGGATTGGTCCCCCCCCCCATCTTTAAAAATTTTGCTTGCTTATCCTTTTCAGAATTCTCTTAATGGCACTTGTGACTTGAGATGGAGGAGGAAAAGAGTCTGCCCTATTGACGAAGAAGAAATCCGCTGTGTGAGCGTGGGGACTCTCACACCAGCTTAGGAAATCTCGTTAGAAAACATGGTTAAGCTCACACTCTTTTCCACGATCTTGTCCTACAGATACGCCAGCCTGTATTTTTGCTGTGCAATTGAGGATCAGGACAATGAGCTAATTACCCTGGAAATAATTCATCGTTACGTGGAACTGCTTGACAAGTACTTTGGCAGTGTGAGCTTTTTTTCCTTTTCTTGGTCTTGTTTTTAATTAAATGCTGTTGTCGTGTGTGTTTCTTTTTTTTTAATATCTAAAAATTTTTAAAGCCTTTTCTACTTTACGATTATTCCATTGGGGGATTCTAACCGTTTGAAAGTAGCTTTGTGGGGACAGGCAGAGTGACAACTTCTTGTCAACATGCCTGTCTGTCCAGTGCCCAGACGGAATGACCTGCACATCTTCCTCGTCGAATTGAGATAAAGAGAATGTGATTTCACATTGAAAGATGGAAAGGAGTCCTTGTACCAAAACATCCCTGCCGGCTAGCATTTAGATTTGAGTAGCAGTCACACGCTCACTCCCTGGGAACATGTACTGCAGGAGCAGACTTTAAGGGTAGAACAGGATGGCGGTGCCCAGGATGGGAGTGGGCTGAGTCAGCCCCTACCTAGCTTGGAAGCGCCAGGTTTGCAAGGATGTGCAATGAGTAATGGACTCTGCCTAAAGCACGTTGGGGGCGGGGGCAAGCCTGCCGTGTTTTAGAAGAGTTGACTTCATTCGTCATTTCAGAAGGCATTGCCCTCCTCAGAGAGGGGGAGAGTTGCTCACTGCCTACTGGAATAGTACTTCTTTTTGGCTTTCCAGGTGTGTGAACTTGACATCATCTTCAACTTTGAGAAGGCCTATTTCATCTTGGATGAGTTTCTCTTGGGTGGCGAAGTTCAGGAAACATCCAAGAAAAATGTCCTCAAAGCAATTGAGCAGGCAGATCTCCTGCAGGAGGTAAGTGACTTAGTCATTCTCTGATATTGGCACCAGCCCGGTCTGCTCGAGCTAAGGAAAGCCCAGTCATTTCTTCCAGTCTCAGAGCTGACCCTGAGACAAGCTTGGCACGTAGTGCCCACAGGAAGTGTATTTATCGCAATGCACAACCAGTCACATCAGCTCCATTACCTGCGAGCAGAGGGCTCTCTTTGGAGATGGCCTGTCAGTATGGCTCTTCTGATATATGACTGGGATTTTTTATTTAGACTTACTTAAGATGACTGAGATGATAGCATTTTAATTCCAGATTGGTTCACATGGTCACTTGCTGTCCAGTAAGTGCACCTATAGTCAAGTACATGATCTTAAATAACAAAGCGCCTTCGGTCTCTATGTTCTGCTCTAGATTTAATCTAGAGTCCCATCCCCCAAGGATCACAGTCAACATGGTTTCATTGTTGATTTGGTGCTCAGGTACCTGTGATTTCTGACATTGGGAATTTCATAACCAGTGCTAAACTTTTTCCTAAAAAGAGTAGGAAACCTCAGTACAAGTACCCAGTCGAATTAATGCTGCAGCAACTTGTCGTTTTTACTATATAGAAAGTTCATAGCATGAGAAGGGGGGTTATTAAATACGACCACCGTGTGTTTTCATTCAGGTAAGTGGTGAACATAAGTAGATTGCATAGATGATGATATGTTGACATGCGTTCATACATATATGTGTGGATGCGTGTAGTAAGTCTGGAATAATTTTGCCTGACAGGTGCATTTTTGAGAAGCACTGAAACTCGTTTTGTAGTGCCCATTTATTTTGCTCCTTCTTACTCTATATCAATTTGCTCTTCCTATATTAAGGGACACTTTAAATCTAAGGGGTTTTTGGTTTGTTTATTGTTTTAGCATTTTTATTTGAAAGGAAATGTTATTTTAAGGGAATAGAATAAAAAGAGTGCCAATCTGTTTGCATCCCCTTCCCCCAACCATAAATTTTTAATTGGAAACGGGGAGGGAGGCTGCTCTTGGGTTAGTTGTGGGGACTGCCGAGATGGCACCACCCACTGCACACATACATTAAACGTGTATGCTGTCAGTTAATGATCTTGTCCTGACAGCGCAGAATTCAAATGCCTGAAATGGGCCAGCTTTGCTCTGCAACTCTGATGCCCTCTGCTGTCCCGCTCCTTCCGGGATTGGGGTGGGCCCAGAGTCTGCCTGGCCTGGATAATTTGATTGCAAACAGATCCTGTGTGAGGCTCTGGAGACCGTCAGATGTGCTAGCTTAGCTGCAAATGTACTCTGCTGGGAAAATGGCTTTCAAATACTGCCTTGCTTACAGTGCCATTCTCACTAATCAGACTTTGCCAAACCTATTCCAAAACCAGGGTCGGGAATTGGGAATTTTTCATATTTGTGCCTTTTGTGGATCACTTTTATATTTCAGTATTAAAGCGTATGAGTCCGGGAGGTGCAGTCGATCAATAAGCACTCGGCTGCTAACAAGGAAGTGAGTGGTTAGAACTGACCAACTACTCAGTGGGAGAAAGAGGTGGCAGAGTGCTCCTCCCAAAGATTCACAGCCTTGGGAACCTGAGGAGGCAGTCCTACTCTGTCTTCACTCACTCACTCACTCTCACCACCATGGAGTCTTGACTCAGAGTGACCTTTGGACAGAGTAGAACTGCCCTGCCACATGTGGGTTTCTGAGAATGTAACTCATTTCGGGAGTAGAAAGCCTCATCTTTCTCCCTTGGAGTGCCTCATGGTTTCGAACAGCAGACCTTGTGGTTAGCAGTCCCCTATGCCACCATGGCTCTATTAGTCTTTTTTTTTGGGGGGGGGCAGGTACTTATCAGAAACTATTGTTCAGAACCTGGTATTTCCTGAGCTTCATTATTTCCATTGCATTTGCCTTTAAACGTGTGTGAAGTCACTTTTTAAAAGTGTTTTAAAAGTTTGGAGGTGAATGTTAGGGCACCAGTAACTCTGACCTAGATTTTTTGTTTTAGTGCTACTGGGAAATAGATTTTATAATGTGACAAAATGAGTTTGCCTTAGAGCATATATTAAGTAAATGTACTACGGGACAGAAAGTTATTATAGGACCATATTTATTTGTCTTATCTCCCTATTGAAGTATTTTTAAAGTTGGAAATATTATCTTTCATGTATTACCTTCCTTTAATGTTGAGAGTATACACAGCCAAACATACAGCAATTCAGCAGTGTTCACATGTACAATTCAATGATACTGAAGTGTTTTTCAGCTACAAGTCTGCTTATCCTCCTTTTCCGGGGTGTTCCTTCCATTTACCCCAACTCCCTACCCCCAAGGTTCCCATCAAATCTTTGGTGTTGCTGGTGTCAGTTTAATCCCACATGGATAACTCTGAAAAGAGCAGAAGGCTCAAGACAGCCACTTTTATTCGTTGGGCTAAACTATTGCTTGGTTTTAAGACACCTTCAGGGGATATGCTTGGTTTAAAGTTTAAAGATGATCTCAGGGCAATAGTTTCAGGGGTTCATTTCTGTGGCCTGTGGCTAGAGAATGTCTGGAGTCCATGATAATTGGAGATTTTTGTCCCTTTTGATTAGGATTCTGCTATTTATTTCCCCCCCAGCAGTTTTACTAACATATATAATGCATGTGTCATACATTTCATTAGTTCAATCCTGTTCAAAAGAGTTGTATAATCATCACCACAATCAGTGGTAGCATATTTCTTCTTCCTTGTGCTCATTGTTGCCAGCACCCTGCTAGCCACCAACCTCCCCTGCCGTGTACGTAGGAAGCAAATAATCCAGTGACTCTCTAGATTTACCTACCTGGATTTTCTATTGCAGGAAAGCATACAAAATTCAGACACAAAAACAACCCTGCAACAATCATAGAATAAACAGAGAAAACCCTTACTAGAAAAGAAAGCAGAGAATATGACAATGTGGAACAAATATCCATTGGATCAAAAAGGAGATCAAATGACAAGGTGTCACTTTTTTTTAGTTTTATTGGCATACAATTCAGTCATTTTGTCATCACCACAATCACTTTCAGAACATTTTCTTTGTTCTTGTATTCATCTACAAGGCCCTGCCCATCCCCGGTCCATCATCAGAGGGGATTCATGCTACAGAATTTTGAGTCACAGAAGTCGTTTTCTGTCTTTAAATCAGGGAAAATAGGAATATGCAGAGAAACAGGATGTCTGAGGTTCCATATAGCAGCAGCCCCCAACCCCTCCACCATTTTTTTAAAAACAATGATTGTAAATTATAGGTCCCTGTGTTTAGAAGGAGCTTTCCCCCAATGATTGTCCGATGGCTACAATGATTTATATACAAACCAAAGTCTAGGTTTTGTGAGAACATTTTCACAAGGTCTGTACCTAGTGGTCGGGGTGAACCGTCTTTTCCTCATTCGGCCTTGAGGGAGGCAGAAAGGTGGCTGGGTCCATTCGGACTAAGGAGTGAGCTTGGCTGCACTGCCAGGGAAGGTCTTCAGGAAGTGACAGGTGAAGTCGCCCCTGGGCTGCAAGCCTTCTGATTCCTCTGTTCCTGTCCTCAGCAACCCCGAGCCTAGAGCCAGGGCCGGAAGGAGAGCTAACAGGCCCTGGCCATGTTCTGTCAGGGTATGTCTGTCAGGTTCACGGTTCTGTGAGAGGATTTGAATAGTTTGTGCAAAATGATAACGGAGTAAGCTGAGAAAAGGCATTCCACAAGAAATTACCACAAAAACAGAGCTTAGCCATTAAGCACATGAGTGCACTCTAGCCCCATCTGCCTCGAGCACCGTTTGCTAACCCTGAGGGTGGCCAGGGAAGGATCGAGGGTGCTCTTGAACCAGTGAAGAAAGGTTAGCTGCTGAGGCTCCAGTCAATGGCCTGAGGCCACCTACTTAGCAGCTGCTAGTGGGAGGGGTCCAGGCCCAGACCTGCTAGCCTTCACGGCTGTGAGTGCTCCTCACCTCCCACCCCTTGAACGTGCATTTGTCTTAGAGAGATTGAGATGTTTGCGGGAAGGTGGGGGGCCGGGTGTTGTCCCAACTTCTGTGGATCTCAGTACAAGGAGACTCCATGTAGTGATCAGAGTCAATTACCTAAGATTGACAGCACTTCTTTTTACATTTTCATGGTCCAAGTTAGATTTTTTAAAAATGAGCTATATAGATACAAGTAATACTATAAAAATAATTTCTTGTTAGCATTCTCAAAATGCCTGGATCCCAGGGGGCTTCAAAAAGTTCATGAAAAATGGAAAGAAAAAATAATGGAACTTTCTGAAGCCTACCTTCTTCTGGGGATGGGGTGTCTTATAATTTGAGGTATGATAACATTTAGTCTGTGATTTGGCCTCTATAATTATGTCATTTTTATAGCTGTACAGATAGCACCAAAGACAGTCTTAAATTTATACTAGAAGTCCTAGCTCGTTTTAATTTAGCTGTTCACAAATCCCGGCTTTCTATTTAGTGTCAGTATTTTACTTGAAGTGATTATTTCTGACCAGGCCAAAGATGAATTTGAACTTGTGGTGAAGCTGTTTGTGTTGACTTAAAGGTTCATGGCATTACAAAATGATTTTATCAACCTCGGGTAGTTTGTTTGAGTCGTATTGCCTTTTCTAAGTCATCACGGCAGGTGGCCAGTGGCTCAGGTAGATTTCTGTTAGCATAGTATAGTCCCAAATGAGAAATCACCTGAAGGTTTGTGATAATAATAACTAATGAAATATCAGCAGGCCTTGTGATTAAGTAGTAAAGACGCCGTTTTAATTTTATTTTGACCTTTCCTGAGCTGTGTGCCTAGTCCTTTTGGTATGTGTTTCATGAATATATAATCAGATTTAGGGGATAAAGCCCAGAAATTGGTCCGTATCCAATTTTTCATTGTTGGATTTTAAGACTAGGCCATTGGCACAAGACTGATCTTAAACTATTAAGCTGCGACATATTAAAATCCCAACCCATTGCCTCCGAGTACATTCCACCTCCTAGCGACTCTACAGGACAGAGGAGA